CAGCACATACTCTGCACGTCCACTTTCCATTTTTGGAGTTTGTAATAGCAGCATGAAGAAAGAGAACAGTTTTCTTATAACTATCATTAAAGAGCCTGGAGAGCAACTATTGACAGAAACAGCAACAACTACATAGTCCCTACCTTTTTCCCTCATTGCTGTCCAGTGTGAATCATGAATCAAATTGTTCAACATATATGGTGCTATTTCTGCTTGAAAGATCACATGAATGAAAACAGCAACAACTACTTGCGTCAAGCTTTTAGCTTCAACAATATTTTAATGCTCCCTCTATATAATTTCCTAACGAAAAAATATTCCCCAAAGCCACAAAGTGGCTGAACCCCATATATAAACCCACGCTATCATTGAGAATTTATTTGCATAAATGCAAAGCCTGGAAGCAAATGATGATGCCAAGAGAACACTCTCTCCCAATTATTATTACAGCACATACTCTGCACGTCCACTTTCCATTTTGGAGTTTGCAATAGCAGCATGAAGAAAAAGAACAGTTTTCTTATAACTATCATTAAAGAGCCTGTGGAGCAACAATTGACAGAAACAGCATAACAACTACATAGTCCCTACCTTTTTCCCTCATTGCTGTCCAGTGTGAATCTTGAATTAAATTGTTCAACATATATGGTGCTATTTCTGCTTGAAAGATCACATGATTGAAACAGAAACAACTACTTGCGCCAAGCTTTCAGCTTTAACAATATTTTAATGCTCCCTGTATATAATTTCCCAACGAAAAAAAAATTCCCCAAAGTCACAAAATGGCTGAACCCCATATATAAACCCACGGCTATCATTGAGAAGCTTTCATGTGGTAACAGCCAGCATACCGGTCCAGTACGGAAACTGAAAATGACTGGACTCCTATTTCAAGAAAACCCCACATGCATTACAAAGAGCCATTGTCTTTTCCAATAATTTCAGGAATTTATATCTGTATTTGAATCTAATGATGTATGCTGCTTCCTTGTCTCTTTTTCTCTGCTTTCGCCTTCTTCTTTTCCCTTTTACTATGCCTAAAAAATTCCAAGCAACAAGTGGACTCCTAAGTCTGTTATGATCCTCATGAGTCACGAGTTTAGCTTTGTGCGTTGATATATTTTATTCAAATATTAATTAAAATACATTTTGATTCAACATATTTATTAAAAAATTATTATTTTTTAATATAAAATTTAAGACAAACAAGATATAAGAACTAAATAAAATTAATTATATTTATATTATTTTTTTAATAACTGAATTAGATAAGTATTAAAAATTGTAAACAAAAGTGTATCAATTATTTTTGTTTTTTTATACAAAAAAAATGAATGAAAGCCATGTAAACATCTCATTCTCCAATTTACTCCAAGAATGAAAAGCCATTCCAGCAAAAATCACAGGCATGAATTCGCAGTTGCATAAGGTTTCTCCACCATATATAGCCGAAACTAGAACAGATATTAAGCAGAACTTGTCCTGGGAGATTCAAACATCTATACCGCAGTAATTAATGTTATTAGCACATACTAAAAGTTTCATGCATGTACCTAAAGAAGAAAACCAGATGCTTTTTCACTGCAGCCAAGATGAAGATTCGGATGGAAAATGCATGTGATGATGGCTCCAATTATTGATCAAACTTTTTCGGGGATTCTTCCATATCCAGCTTCCCCTGGCTTTTATAAGTCACTGTGCATCACGTTATGCTTTCTGGGATCTGGCTATGAGACAAGAAAGCAAAAAACTTTAGCTAAAATTTCTTGGTTCTGCATGCATTCTAAGTGTATTGCATTTGCAGGTACATTTTCCCTTTGCAATTTGCACCATACTTTTGTAGATTCTGATGGGAAACAGAAAGATTCGGAAAAATGTCGTTTTTGGCTTTCTAAAAATACGTGTGGGTGAGAGCCTAAGAGGCGTGGGATTGAAGTTTTTCGCTTAATTTCAGCCTTACAAAGTCATCTCTAGCTAGATTTCATGTAAAAATTTGAAATATTATTTCTTAAATCTTTGAGATAAATTTATAATAAGTTGAGTCATGTATTTTGTACATAAATATGTTTGTCAATTTGAATTAACTAATGTTAATGCACTTTAGTTTAAGAAATAAAAAAGCTTATAATGCATAGATTGCATAACATGAAACTATTAATTGGGATAAGCACTTGATTCGATCAATAATTCCTTATTTTGCAATTTGATTGTTGTTACATAAGAATTTACTTGACGTAAATTTTAAGCATAAAAAGAACAATAATCGATATTTTTTTAATTTAATATATTTTATAATATATTAATTAAAATTATTATTTTTAAATTTAAATTTCAAATGAGAAAATTATCAATTATATAATTTAATGAGTAAACTAGTGTGTATTCACAAGTTTGTTGAATTAGAAAATTTATCAATTATTTTTTTATAATAAAAAGTTATTTTAAATGATTGGTAAAAAAATAATTTAAAAATAATTTATTATTATTTTTTAATACAATCTTAAAT